ATTTTTTTTTTAGCAGGCAGATAGAAGCCATGCATTTAAAAAAAAAAAAAAAAAAAGGAAAAGAAGCCGAGTGTCAAGGACATGGCGCGCATTCAATGTGAGGCTTTACCTGGCCAATAACACGAGGAGTGGGATCTTCCTCGGGGACAAACAGCTGCTTCCAGATCCAGCCTCTCTTCAGGCGGCGGTGCAGAATCGAGGACCCCTGGGCCAGTTGTTGAGCTTCCAGACCCTGAGCGCCTCTCGTATCGCTCAGCACCCCGCCGGGAATCATGGAAAACACCGTCACCACGGCCAAAACACTCGGGGTGCTCATTTTTACAGTCCATGCGTGCATTTCCTCTGCCCTTGCCATGGTCAGCGGACAGTGTCACCGGTCCAGCGCTTCTGATTTTTTTTTTTCATTCACCAGCACAGTAGTTCATGATCCTGGCAGCGCTGCATCCCATCTTGTTATGGTGTTATTTGTATGCACGTTTACAACTCTGAAATAAAAGTTAACAATTCAATGAATGTCTGAGGTGAGTCATTTCCAGCAGAGCACAGAGACTAACAACTAAATGAGAACGAAATCTACATCCAGTGTGAAAATGTTTCATGACACAAAATTATTGAATCTTTTTTTTTCCAGCAAAGCAGAAGATTTTTTATGCACATTAAATCTAAACTAAGTCTATTTAAATAGCATGTAAGGGATTTAATCTTATCAGATATTTACTACTTATTTTGGAAGTATCGCTCATCTTTATTTGGCTTTCCTGTATGTAAAAACAATGTCTCTTGAAATGTTAGGAACAGCTATAATACAAACGAACTGTAAAACTGAACATTATTAGAACTGTATGAAAGAAAATAGTTGATTGCTGAGTTTAAGCCCCCTTAAGTGGGTGTTCAAACTTGATAAAATCATCTAGAAACTAACAATCACTTGAACTAATATATATGTACATGTATATGGGTACATATACGTGGCCAGCTCTTTGCCAAATGATTCTTAAACCTACATAAAATCCAAGTTGGAGGTTCGGAATGATCAACTCCCTCAAAAAAACATTGCGAAATAGAATACAGTCTGTGAATTTTCGAAATTCCATTAAATCCTAGTGCACCACAAACTGGAGAGCGAACGCCGAGCTGAGACACACATTACATGGAGGGAGAAAAAAAACATCTTTGTTTGAGATCTTCTTTTTCTCTGCTGGCAGTTGAAAATAGTTCTTTGTTTTGGGTTCAGACAAGGCTCGGCATTGTGCTGCGTTTAACGGGGGCGGGCTGCAGAGCCGGAACGTCATTCCTTAAGCATTACGCTGCACTCTGCCGCTGACTAATGAAGACTTCTAATTAGATCAATGTCTCGGCAGACATGGAAAACAGAGACACACGGGCCCCTGACAAACTGCGAGTCAAATCGATGCACCAATTACAATGGGTCCAGCGCCATGAGTGGAAGGACAATGAAAGGCAGAGCAGGCAGCTAATTTGTTTTGGGCTCACATACGTGTTGGCGTCCAGAAGTTTGTGAACGGTGAGCTAAAACACCATCAAATCTTCCAAAAGTCAAATTAGATGACAAAAACAACTTTTTTTTTTCAAATCTATACATCAGGATACTGTCAGCTTTGGGACATATGTTGGGAACATCCATCTGAAGCTTTTTAAACCTTTTTTCCCATATCTAATAAACTCTCTTTGGGGGATTTATGGCCAGGGCTCTGACTCAAAAGAGTAAAGTGACGGTTGTGGTGTTGCCTTTTCTGTGGCCTTTTTTTGTTTTTGGATTTCTGTATTACGGCTATTCCTAATAATACTTCCCATTTAAACAAGAAAAATCTTCAATCGCTCTGTTTTTATCTCCCTAGCTGCCATATTAATGAACAACACTGTCTCTTTCCTCACACCGTTGGCTTGCACACACGTTTTATAGGATTTTGTTTAATTTTGAATTTGCCTTCAAATTTGCTGTTCATTTTGGAGGCTAGTGTAGTTTTGCCTCAACAAATAATGTCAGAAATGTGAAATTGGCCCCCTGTGTCATTTCCTAGAACTATAATACCGGCTGTTATCATTTGAAGGCTTCCCGCAGAGTGTGGCATCAGTAACAGCGTCAGTCCTTCATCTGCGTGGTTTAGCTGTTTAGCATTTTCATTTTTTTTTCCCTGCCGGTGACGCTGACCACACACAGTCGATTCATTCTCAACACGCCACTGTTGAGTTGATGATTGTCGACGGTATTTCAGCAATTTCCCTTTTCAAGTGACCTGATGGAATCATATTTGTTGGTGGTGGCAAAGCTGTGTTCGGCTTGATTTTTTTTTTTCCACTCCTGACTTACAAAGTCGTTCTCTTGGAAATTAAACAAATATCGATCCAGACCTGAGCACAACTTTATGCTTTTATAGAGTTAAGCATCAAAATAATCCCTCAACTCTCTTCTGTTATTCAAGTTTAATAGCCACATGACCCATAATTCTAAACCAGTCTCATTGAGTTTTTGACATCTGCATACAGCAAACACAGTGGCTACAGAGTGTATCAGAGGAACGCCGATGTATGCATTTTTCCCATTGCCGGTCCCCGTGGAAATGTAAAAAACACACAATATGGAGTGGGAGGGTTGTCTCGGCAGTTAGAGCAGCCGCCGTATTGATGCTTTAACAGCTCATAATGTTCATGTTTAATCTCGTGAAAGTAAATTAGCTGTCAAGGTCCATTTGTAATGAGCTGGTAAAATCAATTACTAATGCAAGGCTTACTTCTTAATTCAAAATTTCGATACCGAAACACAAGTGAGTGTATCTGTTTGTGCTTATGAGTGTCTTTGCCGAGTGCGTTCATATCTCCGAGGACTGCGGAGTGACACTCCAATTAGTGGCCAGTGAGTCGTGAGCTGCTGTTGTCTTTCATGGAGCTGGTAAAGCATAAACCAGGCTGAACGCCTTGAGCCGACCACCGGAAAAACGGTCCACCATGACGTCACTCTGAGCCACTGCCATTGACATCACAATGGGTTTGCCTCACTGTACTCTCACACGTGTCAGTGGCTGGAATAGAACACGGGTCGACAGATGTTTAGGTGTCACCCTAACAAGAATAGCTGATGTAATTGTGGGGAAAATAATGGCTGTGCTCCAATAACATGCTGGAAATAGAAAAAAGCTGTCATCCATGTTTGACAACCATCTTAACTGTGTTTCTTTAAAAAATAACTAAATAAATAATTGCTTACTGGGCTCTATTCCCATTTGATTAAATCCTTCAATAATGAAAATGAAATGAAAATGGTATCGGTCATCACTTATATGATGAAAATGCTAAAAAAAAAACACAAAAAAAAGAGTCGCCTCGCTCTGTTTCTGTGGTTGCTGCTTTCAAAAGACGTTCTCATTGTACATGACATGTGGTACATGCAGAGTGGCCTGTGGTTGACAGCCATTCATTACCTCTAATAGGCCTTCCTCCTATTTCCAGCAGGCCTCCTGTAGCCTATATGTACAAGAGCGCCGCTCTCCCACATGACAGCATGACAATGAGCCGCAGTCTCACCGCGTTAAGCACCAGATGCACTGAAGCCGTCCCCGACATTTTTCTGCACGGCGACGTCTTCAGGTTGATAAAATGTCGGTCTTTTGTCGGAACGATTCCAGCATGCGATGGAAATAGGTCTAATGTGCCATTGTAATCGTTGAAACACAGTAATAAAGCAAAATCAGCCTCCTGATGACTTTACGAGTGAATCATTTTTCTCTGTTGTTTTCTGATCAGAGATCTCATTTCGGTCCAATAATGTGAGAGGGGAAATTGTGAGACATTTGAAAAAGCTTAATCTAAATAAAGGTTCAAACTTGCTATTCGATTCTGACTTGCGTTGAGGACAATACATCCGCTAAGCCTCACTTCTTTTAAGATCACGCTTCTAAGACTAAATGTCTTTAATTGGTCATTTGGGAGTCTTTCGGGGGAATTGCTGTTTACTGTTCAGCTCCGTAAAAACAATAAGTCTGACATGTAGATTACGTCTCCCAAACCAGGGGCCTCAAATGAGTCTCAAGGCTGAACTGGAACACCAGGGGGAATGTCAAGCAATTGTGTTCTTGTTTGTAAGTAATTTGTTTGATTTTATTATGAGCACAAGAGGAAATCATTCCTGCATTGCAAAATGTCACGGATTTCCACTGACATTAATCAGCTATGGCACCACATCCTATTATTCGTCTTCTTACTTTTCACAGGTAAACAATTAAATGATGTTGTTGACATTAAAATAAATGAATAAAGGCAAGATCAGTGGATTTCAACCATAATTTGATTACTGGAGTAAATAGAGGGCTTGTGACAGACGATTCACATGAATGGGGAACTACTCTTAACAATGTTTGTATCTGATGTAAAATGTAAATAAAGCATTGCAAGCAATAGACACTCAAATCAAAACAAAGCATAGTGAAAAAAATAGTGAAAAAAGACCTTAAAATCCTGTTGTGTTTTCTTCCTTTGACTTTTTAAAGTCAACTGCTTTCCCATTTTTGTTGTCTACATTATTTATCGATGTGAAACATCCTTTGGTTTGATTTACATTCATCATTGCTCCAAATGTTTTACATTGTTATAAATGCAGGGAAATTTGCTGGATGATCGTTTTGTTCTTTAGCTTCCCAGATGTGGCACATTTAGTTTCCAAAAAACAATTTCTAAGTCTTTGTGACATGAACTGAGTCTAAATGATCCATTTTTTAACAAGCTTATCCCAGGAGAACGTAGCCTGTTCTTAGATCTTATTTACGTTCCTCTTTTTTTCTTTATTTGATATGGTTTCAACTTATAGTTTTTCTACTACTCTGATAAAACATGTTTAATGGCAATTCTCATGAGCTCTCAGCAGGGCTTCCACAGCAGGTCTGTTTTTGATGCTGTTGTAGAAGCTAAAGGCTCAAAGATCAAAGTTATCATTCTAAGACTCTTTATTTACCTTCTACACAGAGATTGCTTTGGGTTTCTCAAGTAATTAACTGCGTCTGCGAATTGTGCGCAGCTCTGTTTGGACTTTAGAAATTCCAGAGAGTTTCTGAACGAAAGCTTGTGCTTTTGACCTGGTTTAAAAATGTCCTCCTTTATGAAAAACTGAATTTGAAACATATTTATCAGTTCATTACTTTGTGTTTCAGTCCCTCCCCGTACTGTTTTGCTAAATTGTTTTTGTGGCTTCCTTGACATGACAACAAATTCACCATATGGCAATAGATTAATTTTTTCGGCCATATGAAAGAAGAAGTTATTTTTTGGTTTGTTTTATTTAATTTTTTGCCCTTATGACTCGTGAGAGCCACAACTCTAAGTCCAAAAATAAATAAAACAGTT